TATGGGAAAAGGCTGGAACTGTGCTATGATCAGATTGTTTGTGGAGTTTTTTCAAATATTTCTGATTTTGTTTTTTAATTCTGATCCACATATTGTACTACTATAAGTCATCAAAAAATAGGCATCACATATTATTGAGTATATATCCAAAGGAGATTAATCTAAAATAAAAGCAAACCCATTTGTATTTGTCAAACAAGCCCAAAGGAACTCATTGCTAAATTAAAATTACTAAAAACGGCCTTCCTCTTGTAGAATATGTTGTAATACGTCTTCTGGTGGCAAACAAATTGTATTCTCTTAACTATGGAGCAGTAGGGTGAAACTCTGTCCCTTCCCTCCATGTAGTAACCCATTGACTGCAGTGTGATTGAGAGAACTTATCTGCCCATCCATAGAAAAACAAGAAAACCAACCAAAACCAAAAAACAGGAATCATTGCAAAACAATTTATTAATAGAAAAACTGTTAAGCATTAGTAACAAAGAGATACTGAAAAGATGAATACAAACTAATAAAGCTTGATAACGAGCATATTTAATAAAAGTTCACATTATTAGAATATAACAAGCACACAGCCAAATCACCACAAGCTAAGAAACGATTCCATCTTAGTGAAAACACCCTGTATGCTTTATGTGATGCATTTTATATAGAACTAACTTATTAGAAAATATATTTAACAGATTAGCAGGGTAAGAAAGAGGTCTGGAGTATACTAAATTCCACTGCAATTAGGAAGAGCTTTTTTGTAGTTCCTTTCTGATGTCTAAGCTTGTAGCTTAACAGTGCATTTCTAAAGAAAAAAATGAGCTGTGCAGAGTGGTAATAGTACGTAAACTATATTACTATAAAAAGCAACAAAGCAACTCATTTAAGAAGCATGTCTAACTGATTTGGTATCAGTTTTCCTCACTTAACAAATAAAGATAGATAATCATAACTTTTTAAAGAACCTGAATATAAATACACATTTAAAATTTAGAATGAAAGTCTCCGTGTGTGCCTTCCTTATCCCTGCAGAGAAATACATTACTTATGAAGATTCAATGTGTGCAGGGAAAGAAGAGCTTAGCAAGTTTTTATGTTATCCATAGCTCTAAAAAAAACAAGAGGCAGAGACAATAAATGAGTTAATAAGCAATACTAAGTAAAATTCTGTATGAATCAGCAAAATTGCTATATGGGATTATACATCTGGATCCTTAGATAGATTTTCATCTCTAACTTGCAGAAATATTTGCCCCAATTCTTCTCTCTCTCTCTCTCTTTTTTTTTTTTAACCATGAAGAATGCAGTACATGGTTCGGTACACTATGGGGCACAGGCACAAGCATGATATGGAGCCCACTGAACAAGCTTTGCTTGACATGCTCAGGTCTGATGCAAACGGTTCTTGCCCAGCACTCCGGAAATGCAGAATACCGAGGAGGTAAGAATAGAAATGTCAGAGTGACTATGAGTTTACGCAGCCAGTTCCTGCTGGGCTTATTCGTTTGGTTTTAGCTGCATGCTGCTAAACTTGGCAGCAGAGTCAACGATGGAAGGAGTGAAAGTGAAGTAGTAGAATTCACAGTGAAAAGCAGTGCGGAAAAAGGAGAGTGAGAAGGTAGGCACAAAGAAGCACTGAACATTCCCACTTTTCTCAAGAAATGCTCACTTGCCAAAAAAAAAAAAAAAAATCATGCCATGGAATAACTGGCATGGAATTAGAAGACTTCCCTTAAGTGGCTAAATCTTTTATCTTTTGAGAGAAGCCACTGCAAATAATCAGTGGGTATCACTGTGCAACCAACATACATCGATTGATTATGCCCCGGGGTATAACTGTCCTCACTAATCATGTATTTGACTGTATAAATAATATTGTTCTATTTGTTAACAAAGTGGCTGACTATAGCACATTTTAGTTTTATCTGTTTCAATCATTAGTTTACTCAGACTGTCAAGTGTTTCAAAAGGGACCTTCTTTTGAAAACTGAGGCTCTTGCATTGACAATTCTAGTGAGGAAAAAGACTAAAGCTATGAAAATCCAGATTTGGTTACTCTCTGAAAAAATCCCTCCCAGAGTGATTCATGGAGTAAGATACTACTCAGATAAGTAAAAGTATATTGTACTAGATAATCAATATGCAAAAAGTAAGGTAACACTTTTATAGGCATATCCCTGAAGAACTACTCATAACTCTCTCTTTCTAGAAAGACTGAAAACAAGCAGTTAATATTAATATTTTCCAAATCATTTGCTGTCTTTCACTTGTTACATTCACATTTTCTCTTGTGCTGTCCCTCATACTTGAGCAAAGTTCTTCAAATATATGTCTCCAAAGCTACCCCCGTTATTTGCCTTCAAATCCTTCCTCCTTCTGTGAAGGTTTTGCAGCAACGGGCCACAATACGTTGCTTTCACTGCCAGTCATGCTGAAAAAATACTGTCTCATCATTTCCAGGTCCTGTCTTGTATAGTCACTGGAGTTTAGGACCATCTACAGCTCTGTATTTGTACATCCTTCTTATGTGACTATGGATGCTTAAAGTATACAGCAATTATGCGCGTATACAGAAATTATCCATGTGGCAGAGTTAACAACCACTTTGCAAGGAAAAAAGATTCAAGTACAAAGGTCAAGAACAGCTCAAGAATCCTTAAAAATACCTAAAGCACAGGTTTTTAAGCCACTGCAAAGAAGTAAATTTTAACATAGTCTCTCAAGCCATGAACCAGTGGTCAATTACAGAGCCCTTAGGTTATGTATCTGAAATCAGATTCTAATCCTGTTTTTTAATGAAATAATTTGTTACAGTCCCAGGGAAGTTGTGGGATTATTATTAAAAGATGTGCTCCATGCTAGGAAAAAGATTAGAAATATCTTTCCTTGTAAAAAAGGTGCTGAACTAGACATGTGGGTTATATCTAAGACTCCAAAGGAAATTTTGGCCTCTCTGAAGGTGATGGAATTTTGTCATTTTATGAAATGACATTTATTATAAAATATCATTGTCATTTTAACAAGATTTTATTTCTCATCACTGACTTTCTTGTAAAGACCTTTCTAAACATGCCATTCTCCAACCATAAAATAAGGATAATAATGAATTACTTTCCTTCGTGAGGTATTTCTAAAATGATAAAAACCATCATAAGATTGCATTCTCAAGAACACCGATTATGCTTCTACAGGTCAAATATATAGCATCCAATTGCCAACACAATCTTCTTCAATAGAAGATCGGTTCTATACTAACTGTAAATTAAGAAATAAATTATATGATTATACTGAAGTTTTATAGTTCTGCATTCATTTGCAGTAGCTAATGCATGCTCAGCCATTTATCCTGGTGGTGAAACAGTTATTTAAAAGTTCTATTAAAATGAGAACTGATTCTGGCTAACACAAACGACTGATCTTAAAGATACATTCATTCCTATCAAGGAGTGAAATTTTTATGGTCCATTCTCCCACTGCCATTTTGGCAGGTGTCAGAATGACAGCACTGAGCACCAAGGAATTCCCATAGCCTAGATTCTCAGCAGATGTAAATCAGCAGAGATAAAATACATTAGAGCTACAAGAAATTATACCAGCTAAGAATCTGCTCTCAGGTACCTGCTATTCCTACTGAAATACCTTTTAGGGCAATAGTGTGCACTGTTATTGTTTTAATACCATGCCGCGCTGAGTCCTAGAAGTCATATGACGTGTCTCTGAATCAATGCAAAAAACAGCAGATTAGAATTAATGAAATTATTGCAAAGGGTCTGCAAATTGTCTGGAATATTTTGTGTACCTTACACACCCAGCTTTTTCATAGAGTCTTGTATTTGCTGTTTAGCCTATTTTGCTTTAGTTAAAAGTGCATCTTTTGAGAGCTGGAGCATGATTTTTGTCATCACAACACACCCTCTTTTTGTCTGCTTTGTTCCTTTCATTTTGAAGATACGATAGTTTTGTTTTGAATACGCTGTTCTTGGTCATGTATTCATAAGCTGATGACAATTCCTGAAGAAGAGATTTGGCTTGCTCAGCAGTTGCCATTGACTCAGAGGGTGTCCAGCAGTCCAAAACAAGCAGACATATGACAAGATGCTGGGCCTAATAAAACTAGAGGGCTAACACAGAAGGTGAGGTCTCTGAAGGTACCAATTTTTATTGGTATTCCAGAACAAAGAAGTCTTTACATGTCCAAAAATAAATCTGGAATTTATCATTGTTGAATGAAAGCAAGCAATTATTGTTTTTCTTTTCTACTTCATACTAACAAATGATAATTTTACATCGTATTTCCAGATGTCCAGGTCCAGTAAGAACAACATGCCATATAGGTTACCATCTATTAAATAGCAGAAAGCTTTGAGAAATTAAAATCAAATGACAGATTACTGTGGTGGTTCAGAAGACGGAGAAGAAAAACCTGACGCAAAGCAATAATGTGCACTACACCTTGAGACATTTTAAAGAAAGCCCATTGTGAGCTGGTTTTGTTTGCATGTAAAGCAGCCAGTTTGTAAGTATTTGAAATTTCCTGTTATTTCCTCCTCTTGAGAAAGAACCTACCTAGAAATTTTGTGAAAAAAGAACTGTTATGATGTTCTTATACTCAAGAAGAGTGGAAAGATTTCATCTTAGCAGTATTAGTTAAAGGTCTTCTACACTCTATTAAGTGAAGACTGCATGCTCAATATATATAACGTGTAACAATAAGCAATAAACATTTTCCTTTGGTCTGAAACTTCAAGACTAGGAGAAGAAAGCACACCCAAGGCATTAAGCACTCCTACTTTTATGGGCACCACTGCCATATCAATAAGGGATGGTGGCATAATGAATGAATAGATTTTTTTAGGATTCAAGAAATTGCATCAAGTTCCAAGGAAAAATTGCCATTTGGTACTATATTTGGGGGAGAGCACACATAATCTGGAGATATTTAGAAGTATTAGCAAACAAATTACAGTAAAAAAACCACTACTGAGGATAAAGCAATAAAGTTACCTTTTTTTATGCTTAATAAGCCATCTGTGTCTGTGTACACAGCCCAAGTACCTCCAAGCCTGATACCAACACAGTGAGATACCAAAAAACCAAAAAAATTTGCCTAGTCACTACTTCAGGAAAGATACCCTGTTGCATGTAATCCACAAGCAGTAAGGGATAAGTCTTCCATCTTGTTTCCCTCATCAACTTCCCTTAAGAGGCTCCAACAGGCAACTTCCTTAAGCTGTTCCTATACAAGGTTTTTTCATGGCGAAAATATTAGAGGTTTGAGCATCTTCCCAGTCTTTCAATACTTCCTGATCCCTTTCTGCAAGCGCAGCATCACAGGTCAGGTTCATGGGAACTGATGAATCCCCTCCCTTTTCAAAGTGAGTTCATGTATATCTCATCACAGAACACCTGGGGAAAATAGAACTCTTAATGAGTATTTGGACGTAGTCAGGACACTGAATTGTTTTTCCATGTTAGATTTGTTTAATCCAAAGTCCTAGAACATTCCTCCCTAATTAGCATTGCTTCTGTTTAATTACACTTTCGGTTTCTATAGAGAGAGTCTATAGCTATGAAATTCATTAGAATATCATAATTAGAATATTTTCACCACATTGTGGATTTTAGAGAGAGCCATGCTATCTTAGTGAATTCCATAGCTTTGGGAGTATGTCATATGAACAGATTTCAGATGGAGAACGCCGCAGAAGGTGAGAGAATAGAAAACTGCTTTGGTGTGGCAGATAAAGCTGCAAAAAAAGCCTGCCATTGCAAAAACCACCAGCTAAATGCTATAAACCATGGACTACAGCTCTTCTGTTGATATTCTGAAAATAATTATGATTGTGAGCTGTCAGAAAGATTCACTGCACCAATTATGTTCATCACCAACTGACAACCTACCTAGGCAAACCCTTTTAAAATCTGAGCCTCCTACAACACTAATGAGCATTAAAGAACAAAATATATAGCTCCCATGAGTCTGAGGCACAGCATCATAGCTTAACACTGCTATAAACAGTAAATCTTTACATATGCCTATTGGCAATGATGTTCCACAAATGTCAGCATAGACTCTTGTTTTCTAACTTCATCAGTAATGCTCCTGTCCATTACATTTATAATGTGCAACCTAATCAACTGTCTGAACATAAAGAAGTATGTTTCGTGCAGGGACTGAGATTTCATCTTAGCATGGGAAGAAGCAGGGTGGTGAGAAAAGGCTTTCATTTGACTTTCAAGAGCCGAGAGTCCCCCTGAAGATTTCTAGATGTCTACCTGAAGACTATAGTACGGTTTTTTTCCGGTGAAAGAATTTTTTTTGTTAAATTTTGTTTTTATTTTTAAACGCAGTGCTGGCCATGGAACAGTGCCACAGTCTCTGTCATATTCTATGCTGCAATGTACCCATTTGTCACAATGTCATATGCGCTGTGGGATCTCATTGAGGTGTCATGCCCTCAAAACCCATTACTGCTGCCAAGAGTGAGACTCAATAAAACAGGAGTATGTGCTACTAAAGAAAGAAACTGTTTTGTTTGTTAGGAATGCTGAGAGCAGTAACTTCACTCAGAGGAGCACTCTCAGATTATTTTAGCACAGTTGTCACATGCACAGATAAACCCAGGGAAACACAGTTTACAGGATCGTTATTTGTATGGCATTTCAAGACAATTTGTCTTGACCTAATACTTCCATAAATACATGATACTTGGAAGTCCCAGGTGTGTGTACAGGCCATTACAAAACTGAAGCCTAGATAAATGTAGCAGTCAACTGCGTGATACTGTATTTGGAATACCATTTCATTAAAATAAGACAAAACAATAAACTGCACACTGAGAAATATATATCTCTCATAACACACTGGAGAAAGACTATGAAAACTATTTAAAAGGGGGGAAACATTTCAGACTACATTCAATAAAAAGAAGCTGCATTGTATAGTCAGATGCAGGTGCACCTGATGACAGACACATCAGCTGCATACTCAGAAGCGTATCTTGTTACAGTGTCCCTGCCCATGCTGTTAGGGACAGTTCCATGGGGGTCTGCACTGTCCAAAGTGATATCTAGCTGAAATGCAGGTATAAAAACCTTGAAGGACAACCTTAAAGTGAAAAACCTTGTAGTGGTAGAAAACCTTCTAGCATCTAATGGAGCACCCTCATATGTATCTTGGAGCACCTTGAGTCTCTAAATACAAATCCACAGCGATCTGTGGGCATGGTTTGTCCAACAGACTCTACCCCACAGACACAGGGCCAAGTTCCTGTGACCTCAGTTATTGACACATAGCACTCAAGTAAGAGTCAACGGACAAGTGCAACCAGTGAGTAAGAAGTATACCGACAGTATAATTCCTGCCTCAGGAATTAGACATTTGAAAAGGTTCTTGGCAGGACCACCTTCCTTATAAAATGACACCTTTGATTGTTGGGTAAAGGAGAGAAGTAGGAAGAAGAAAAATTAGTAGCCATCAAAAAGTGGAAGAGAATTCAGGCCTCCAATGTAAGAGATGGAGGAATGCAGAAAAACGAATGGAGAAAAAGGCAATGAAATAGCCAGTATGTCCATACAACCTTAGGTTTCCCATCACCACATGCATATCATCTGTATTAAAATGTGTGAAATAGCTAAGACTACAGCACTAGTCTTGTCGGCAGTGAGATAAATGACCTTCAGGAAACAACAGCTGCCCCCTTTTGGACGGTAGACCTTGGTAGCTGAGAGGTGAATTCTTAATCTTTTCCTTAGCCAACACGGCAGCCAGGTTTTCTCCACCTGGCAATAGGTCACAAGAAGCAATATGGTCTCTGCTAATCCTGCTGCTCCTGAAGGGAGAATGCTTACCTTTCTTTATGGCTTGCTTCAAGAACATCTTTCCTGATACCTTTCTTCAAGAATCCCTTTGGGAAGAGAGGTAGACAGAGGGCTGTCAGGACCTGGGTGAGGAAATCCCAAAACAGGGTCTTAGGACATACCTTAGAAGCACTGGCTACACAAAAAAGCAGGAACTGATCTAGAGACTGGCAAAGATCAAAACTTCATGTTAGTACTCTTCACTCCCCATGGCTTACAGACGTGGCATGCTGTAATAAAAAGAAATAGCAGCCGGTGCACATCTTTAGGAACTGGTCCACACAGACAAACCAAATCTGCACAGGAACTATGTAAGAGCTGAGCAGAACATACTAAATCGGGAAAGCATTACCAGCTCTGTAACAAATAATAAATAGCTTTCTGCACTGTTTTCTGCACAAGAATAGGAACCAGGGTTCTTCTGTTGTTTTTGCCACTCCTTTGCTAAAAGAACAGGCAAAAGGAGACATGACACCTCCATCATGTATGGGAATGCCCAACTCCATTGGGATTCTGTGTCTCTATAAAGGCATCATGCAAGCCACAAAAAACATCACAGAGAGAGCAAAAACAAGCAAGGGGACATTTACATTAAAAAAAAACAAAAACAAACCAGCAACATGCACCCAAATCAAATTGCTCAAGCTCCTGCATCAGGTGAAGTCTGCCCCACAACTTGAGGGCAATGGCAAAGACAGTAGAAAATGGTTAGCCTTTCCCATGCATAGATGTTACCACACTTCTCCAAGCACAGTGAAGACTTCTTGGTGGTGGTTTCATTAATATCACAAAAGGAACAGCACAGCAAAAGGAATGGAGCAGTAAGTGGCATCTTTCACAAGCCTCCACAGTAACAGCTGGAATGGACTTGCCAGTCCTGAACTTCTGTGACACACAACTGCAGGAGTTTGGCAAGATAATCTTCCAGAGAGGAGCGTGTTTCCAGGTTGGAACAATATGGGAAACTGACCTTTGTCAGCTGAAAGCCAGCACCAGCTTCTGTTACAGGGCTATGAAGATCTCTTCCTGCATTTCATGTCCCGAAACCACTGAATTTCCCAAAGCTGGTGAAGAATAGGGTCTCAGTAATGTTCTCACTCACGAGGAGCACCCAGAACCACCGGGACATAATGGATACAAGTTGAACAGCAACAGCCTTCAGCAGTACAGCCATGTCCTCACACACAGCAGGCAGCTGGCCTTCAACGAAACATAAGGACGTGACCTATACCCCAAAAGACCAACTTCACCTCCAGAAATTATCTTGAATTGCTTTAAATTTATTCTAGGCACATGGTAAGCACATGGGTAGTTATACTGCAAAATAGATGACAAATAAATCTGTTGGTTAGCTTGGTCATATGCTTATATCTAAAATGCAGTGAAAGTCCATTTTCTGGACTTTCATTTAATTAAATGCCTTCTTGCTCTTCTCCTGTTATAAAAGCTTACATTTTCTGCTGTTGACTCCATCCATTCAGTGAATTGGAAGAAGAAAGTCCAAATTCTGCTTCCAGACAGCTTAAAGTCCAATGCTGCTCTGTTTTCACCTTGCTCAAAAAATACAAGTTATAAATCTCTACCCAATAAATAATGCATAACATTTTTCATAAATTTTAAGACTACTGTAATTATATAGTCCACCTCCTGCATAACCTAGCTTTTCACAGAAATACTACTGAAGTGATGCTTGTAATAAGTTTTACCTACATTCACCTTGCTGAAATCTGTTAAGACTTTCAGACGCATAAAGTAACTCCACCTTTTCTGTTCCTGAAGGATTATGCATATGCATGAGTGATCTCTGCAGCTGGAATGTTAACACTGTTGAGGGTAATATTCTATATACATGGAACAGTAGCCATATGCCCACATATTATGCCTTGCCCCTTTTACATAAATATAATCAAAATCTACATCCTGGGATATGTGCTGTTGCAGAAAGACAGTGTGGGAGAAAGAGGTTCACTGGGTAACATATTTCCTTGAAGTCTAGGAAAAAAGGAAATAGAAATAATAGTTCTGATGCTAGCTTCCCAAAAATAACACAGCTATCAAAGCTCCCCATCTATTTGATACCTCCTTTTCTCTGAGGTAATAAATGCACATAGGGAAGGTTCTATTTTGATAGCCCCCTCTTAAAAACCCTCCATCCCCTTCAATACCAGATAATTCTTTTAAGTACCTTTTAAGATCATTGGAGTTACTCAAGCCTCCTTACTGCATAACACAGAAAAATGTATTTTCTGGCTGAGGAACAGCAAACCTTTTAGAAAGCTATCCAACTCTTGTAATATAATAGGCTCCTTATGCAATCCATGAGGAAAAACAGATACCTCAGAAAAGGAGAGCCAAGGCACCTACACACATTTCATTAAAAAGGGACAACTTCAGCTAATCAACAGGGACCAAGGTTTATTCTGACATATAAGCCAGTAAAGTGTTTGTTGAGCAAGTGAAAGATCTCATTTTGATGCTGTCTGCTACAGTGCACTGGCCCCTCTCACTCACCTCCCAGCAAATGCCTGTAAGCAGTTGGCTGTTCCTAAGGGGTAGGACTCTCCTGGTTTATCTTGGGTTTGGATTCCGTAGACAACACAGATATTCAACCAAAAAGAGAAAATTCAAAGGTGATTATGGCTGCCCTTCTGTTTCTTCTCTGGAAACTACAGACTGGGCCTCAGGTCTCCTGCTTTCCAACACAGCTGCCAGAGGAGCTCCTTAATTGCTAAACTAGAGTTTAATTCTCATTCTTGCTATCTGTCTCATTCTTGAGAGATACCCTGCCCACAATGGTTAAATGCCATTGCAGAACTTGAGTAATCCTCTCTAATAGGGATGAGAAGTGTTCCCTCAAATCGTTTCCGTGTTTAAGGGAGCTCTAAATGGTAAGTAGAATATTTCCCATAATTCTTATACCCAGAAAGTTATATTGTTAGTGTAACTGTAGCAAACCATGAACTTAAATACTATCTTGCTACTTCCATTTTTAATTAATATAAACCTTCCAATCATGGTGGACTTGTCCCATCTAAGTAGATTCTATGTGGTTTTTACAGTTTGCAACACTACCAAAGGAGTTCTGTTTTCATCATGTGTTTCATCATAAATTCATTCAGTTCTATACAGTGAAGTCTCTCTTTCTCAAATCACAGGACATAAAAATTACATGATTTTTTCAGCCCAGTAACCTCATTAGACCTGTATCCTTACTCACACCAGAGAAGTGTAACTGGTATTTCTGAAGCAGTGAGGAGATTTTTTTTCCTAATATTACAAGTTTAATGAGTAATTTCTGTCCTGAGAGATGAGTGATGTAAGGCAAACATGTCACAGATGTCATCAGTCCTTATGGCAGCTCAACAAAATCAAAGCATTTTATTATAAAGCAAAATATTCAGGTTTGTATTTTTTTGACAGAAGATATCAATGCCATCTGTAGAGAGTTAATATGAGAAAAACAAAACAAAAAACCCAAACCCTAAATATACTCAGCTTTCTTCTAAACATTTGGACAGAATATTTTTGACCATCTCTAATAACATACCTGTAAATTATGCATTTCATCCACAGATCTGTCTCTTTTTGTAAAGGTTATTTTTTTTCTTATTTATACTGAAGCAATTCAGAAGCAACAAAATTGTTGTGTTTCCTCATGTTTAGGCCATAGCAAATGAAAACAGTATTTGGCCGCAAGTTGTTCCAGAGAGAAACTAGAGAAAGAGATTATGTTCTATCCTCTATCTGCTAGAGACTCTGGGAGATTAAAAAAAGAGAAGGGGAGGAGGAAGAGTTAACCTGGTAAATTTAAAATCTCTCCCTTGTGATGTTAAAAAAAAATCAACTAAACAAAAAACAACTATTCCCTCAGTTATGTCAAAAAACTTTAACTGATTCTCATAGGTATTGCACAGGTGAAGCAGAGAGCAAATTGACCCTAGGATTTAAAATAAGTACTTTTCATTTTCATTTTCTGAAAAAGGTCTTACTATACCTTCCATCTTCAGTGTGTTTCTCTCAGATGTAGCTTCAGGAACACCAGAAATGTGTTTACATGCAGATATCCTAGTGCTGGCACAGAGAGGAACTGTCAGTGGAAATGAAAAAATAGCTGAATTTCTGGAGCCATGCATCTGCAGCAGCTATTCACTAGTTTCTTGTTAGAATAGGCCACTTCTGAAAACAGAGTAGTTCCCAACTTCAAGTGCTTTTAGAAGGTTGTTTAATTACTTAAACTATTTTTATTTGTAATTGGTACTTTTATATAATGGTTATGCTACCTAATTGATTGAGCATTAGTTTCATTTTACATTACGTCTGACGAGTTATTGATTGCCCTTTGCTTTCGGGACACTTAGGAGTTTCCTGGTGAAGCACATAAAAGAGAAAATACCTTAACCCTGCGGAAACAGTAACTTGTCCTAGAAAGGTTGTTGCAGGCTTCCAAACAAAAGATTCCTACCATTGCGGTCCATTGATCCAACAGTGTGTGCTGCATTTCAACGCTGTCAACAGCTCCTGTGTTTTTTTCTTCCTTTCACAGCTCTAGTATTTGAATAAAGGAAACTCAAAACTCAGAGAATTGACCCCCTTATTTTGAGGGGTGAGGGAGGGCTTTTAGAGCTAGAAACTTGTTACTACTTTAGCTATGGCTGCTGATCTCAGAGAAGCGTACAAATCAAACCTGAATTTTTCAAGAGCAGAAAGATTTTTCATAAGAAGACTAAATGGCAGCCCTTAAGTCTTCTTACTGAGCTATTGTGCTTCAGCTCAACAGACAGTTCAAAGGCTTTATAAAATACCTGTTCTTGTCAATAATTTATTTTTCTTGCTATCATTTCAGTTTTGCCAAAAGAAGGTCAGCACACATTGCAAGGACCACTGAAAAAAACTAGATTAAGATGTTTGTATTTGTTAAACAAGTGAAAGAAGACTCTGAAATGGTGCTGTTCTGAGGGTACTTAATCAAGCAGAACAGATGTTTATTATATAATAAGGGAACACTTTGCCATCAGTATGAACAAATCATGAAATCAAATTGCTCCATAATACTTTCCATTATTTCACAGACACTTACTGTGAAGAATTAGGGGTGAGCAAAAAGGCCAGATACTCTGTGATTCTCCAGCCCAAGGCACTATTTGATTACCCAGCAGGGAAAGTAATGCTCCCTATTAGCATAAAGCGAGAAAAGCTGGTGCCTGCTGCAGCTGCCAGTCTAGTATAGACGTCTTCCAGAGGAGGGAGAGCTGCGTATGAAGTGCGGCACAACTCTGCTGTATTATGCCCATCTTTTACTCATACAAGGTCACTTACAGATCATAATCCGCTGGAGAGCATTGGCATAGCCCCAGGAGCTTTCAGTGCAGGTTTGTGTTAGATGAGTCTTCCATTCTAGTATCAGCTAAGTTTCTACACCAAGATTCATACAGAGGCATAATATCCTACAGTTAAAAAGCCCCAATTCACACACAGCATTTTGAGAGCTGGGCCTGTCCCTCGAGTGCCTACAGCAGGTAGGGAGACCACATCTATGTTAGTACGCTGAACGGAGGCCAAGGCAGTGGCCTCCACCCCAGTGAGTAGTTGTCCGTGCTATTAAGTCCTTCGCACCTTATAGGTCAGGCCAGCAAGGCCAGCTCTCTCCAACAGGGTTCAGGCATGGTTCAGAGGTTAGCCTGGAGCAGTGACTATTCCTTTTAGGCAGCTCAAAAGTGGCTTCTTTGTTCTGAAGAGTAGAGCATTTAAGGTTTTGGACAGGATAGCTACTGCGCCATGTGGCCTAAGGATCAGAGAGTAGTTCCTGGCCCATTTCACCCGCTCAGATAGGACATAGCTAGTGAGTCTCTAATATGGCAGTACTGCCTTTGAGGTCCAGCTTCAGCCATCTCTGTGCTCCACTCTGACTATAGTGGCTCCAACAGTAGCTTCCTATGCCGTTGTGTAGTATAGACCAGGACACAGCACTCAGGGAAGAGGTGGGAGGCAATTCTTGTTGTGATTGCCTTCTAGGAACTGTTCAGGCACGGAGACAGGGAACATGACAGCCAAAGTGGTGGGTGGCTAGTGCCTGCAGCAGAGGAATACTCAGTGGAATTTGGCTCCAGGCTAGTTGTGTCCTAACCTTGCAGTACTATCATCTGGAACAAACTGTACCGAAGAATAAGCCAGCCCCCAAAGGAAGAAAGGTATGTCTGAGGCTGGAACCAAGACTGTGTGTTGCTGGGTAAGCTTACTAACCAAACTGAGCACTTGCAATTGAGACCACTGTTCAGAGACTTTTCTGAGTGGATGCTTCCTTGAGCAAAGGTCTCACCTGCTGAGTGAGTGAGTGGTGGGCATCAAGAACTCACTGCTAACATACGGATAGCCCAGCTCACCGTGCAGTCAATAGTTCCGATAATCTGTATTTGTGCACATGTAAGTCAATTCAAATTCCAGACACATCCACTGACATTTGCAGATTAGTTCTGATAACAGTTGTTACAGTAGTGCTCCAGATCTCTACAGACAGAATTATCTAATAGATAAAATGCCAATACATGGTGCTTAAGAACCTGCTGAGCTTCACAAGACCAATTTACCTTTTTCTGAGTGCTACAAATAATAGCTTCTTATGATGTGCTGTTAAAAAGGCGGATCATTTTTAAAGCTTTACATTATTCTTACTTCATGTGCAGAAATCTCTTAAACAGGACTGCAGGAAAAAAGGTTTATAAAATAATAAATTGCCTTATGCAGATATTATGAATCTCTTCAGATCTAGACTTGAGGTGTGAATTCTGGAGTAGCTCAGTAACACCAGTTCCCATGAGACTTGCCACTATCTGCTTGCCACTGCTCACTCTTACCATCTGCTCACCCATCTCCAGTTGAGCTCAGGAAAAAAGAACGGAGCAAATTAATTCCTCCCACCCCAATCTGAGATGACAGTTATTTACCAGCTTCTTGTTTCTGAACCTTGCTGAGATACAGGTATACCTTAGTTTTGGTATACAGAATTCTACTTTCAAAGACTTTGAGTGAGCAACGAAGGCTGCAATATGGAAGAATTTAAGGCAGACAGAAGACAGTTGATCTCTGTGGTAGCACCTGCCAATGGTAAGATGGAGTTGGAATAGCTTTGTAAGTAATAAAGTCCACACTGTTTATGTATGTGATATATGCAATATTCTTGCTGAACCTCATATATATGACATGCTAATGTGATGGGATTGTTCCTCTTTTTTCATATTTTGATATTTAGAAGAGCTCACTAACACATTACAACTGTCACAATCCAAGTATTGCAATAGTGGAGTGGGAAACAGCTAAAATCTACACAAACAATGTCCTAAATTTAATTAGGCTTACTCCAGCAATAAATCACTTTTATGTATTATCTAGCATTTACAGTATGTAATATCCAACAAAGGGTTCTCAGCACGTGAGCTTCTGCCAGAAACTGCTAATATAAGGTCAAATCATATGAAACTACTCTCAACTGTCACAATCAATGACTGATCAACATATCACTAAAATGAGTATAACATTCATTTTCAATTCACTGTGCACTAATTTTTTTATTCAAACATGACATTATTTTCATTCAGTGTGAATCACAGTCCTATGGCTATATCATCATATGACCTCCCTGATCTCGAGAGTGAACAAACTATAAACGCTAAGTAACCTAATATAACTCTAGCTTTGGTATAGTCAGACTTATAGATTTTGAAAATATTTGTTCTTCTACCTGGCACTTGAGTGAATTTCTCTGATATCCATTTACACACAAGTGAAATTAAACTTTTATTCGCCCAAACCTTGTCTCTGCATAACCTACAGTAGCAACAAGCCTCACAGATGTTTTTTATTTTACTTTATGCTTTGCTTATACTCACTCTGGTCTCATTTATTACTCTGAGATCTAAGAGGAGAGACACCCTCGGGTACTGCAGCATTGTCTGTCCATAAAGAAAGGGAAGGAAAAACGACTTTTACTGCAAGTGACAGAACAAGTGTCATGAACTAAGGCTGTGGAGGGATTAACCAGGGGTCTTAATTTTTAAGGGAATCCAAGGAGTGCATACATTGCTCTGAACAACACTGGCCTCTGTGGAAGAGGAACTGATATTGAATCGCCATGAAGCAGATTCAGAGAACTGTGCCACCGTTCCTCCTCAGCCATGCTTTCAGAGAGAAAGGGGCAAGGAGAACTGCTATCAACAAACAGGTCCCTTACTTGCAGGTTGTGGAGTTACCAGTCAAACTTCCTGAAAGCCTTCAGATGTGGCATTTCTTGCTTAACTTCTTTCAGTGAACTTGGAAGATAAGAGCTATAAAAAAAAAGCAAAAAAACCCTTTGTGGCAATAATCATAAACCACTTTCTACTTACTTTGCCTGCCATTCAGAAAGCTCCTCCCCAGGAAAGTTTCCTCTGGCTCTGTGTTCAACCCTTGTACTGCTGATTTTTCTAGTCTTCTAGTCATCTCACTATATAAAATTCCTTTGAACACAGTTCAGTCTCGTCTGTACCCAGTACATTCAGTTACATGCCAGATGGTGAGGAAGGGTATCTGGCCTTTCATATAGAACATTTCCACTGGCTTTCTGAGATTATGGCTAGAGTCCCTTTCTGCAATTGCTGCTTTTTTACATTAGATATTCAGAATGGAAGCTAATAAGGTGATTATTCATCACATAATATTTGGCACACAGTTATTTTACTATATAATGTTGGATGTCTTTCAACAGCTACTTAGACCAAGGCATAGATACTTAGACCATATTTTCAAACAAAAATGCTCTCAAACATTTTTCTCTGCCCTTGACCCTATCATCATCCTTAAAAGCTTCTGTTTTGAAATAGTTCATGATAGATATAAATCAAAGAAAAGGCAGATTCAAGACAAGAAAGGAGTAGATTTTTCATGAACATCACCAGCTCCTTTAAGCTATAAAATTACTGTAGATGCTTTAACTGATATTGCAAATAACCTGGTATGGCCAAGGAGAGGAAAGGATCACTTTAAGAAAGTACTGTTTGACAATGAACTTTTTTACTTCATTAGCTGCTGCACAATGAGTTCTCATCATAGCAAAACAGTTTTCTTCCCAGAAGAGACAGATTTCTACATCTAT